TTATGCAGCTTTCATTCAGGCTGGAAAAAAACAAAAAAACAAACAAGCAATTACAAGATGGCTACTAATAAAAAAAAGTTCCTTAATATCACAAGTTTTGTTTAAGAAAGTAACTCATCACTTTCTTTTTCTTGAACAATTGTCCAATACATTTAATGAAATTGTAAACTTTTACTCCAAACACTAAAAAATTTAAGTTTTGGTATAAGTTATTGTCATTTAATTATTCTTGGTATTAATTATTATAATTATTTTTTTCTTAATGTCTTGTAGTGAATTTATTCTTGGTATTAATTATTGCAATTAATTATTTCTTGGTATTATTATATTTAATTTTTTCTTAGTACTAGTTATTGTAATTAATTTATACTTAGTATTGAATAAATTCTTGAAAATAATTTAGCTTATTAATTTGGTGTTTTTATTTTTTATTTTAAGTTGCTTAATGGTAATTCTGCATCAAATCACCTAGTCCAATGAACCATGTGTCTTCTTTTTGTGTTATATTTTGACACGCTATTTCTATTTATAAAAAATATTGCATGCAAAATTTCAGCTAAAAATGTTGAGTGGTTGATAAGATACTGCAATATTTATATTGACCTGGTTTCCCAAAATGACCCGGTTTTCATAACATTCTGAAAAAATGTTTTCCTTAAAAATATAAGAAATAAAAATGGCAAAAATATGAAAATAAACATATATGTTTTTTTGATGCTGAATTCAGTAAATGTACTTGAAATGCTGAAATATTAAAGGAACATGCTTAAAAGTTAATAAAAGAACTAACTTCTATAAACCAACTTTAAAGGACTATCTCAAAACAACCCCGTCAAAATTTTTAGTTTTTGCTAGTAATATTTTTAGCTGCTTATAATCTCACTAGGTACAAAAAGTATTACTGGAAAAACAACTGAAACATATGGGACTTTAATTTCAAAGATGTATTACTTTTTCAAGAAATTCCAAAAAAATATTTGTAAATAAAATGAAGATAAGTTAATTGTAATTTAAAAAGTTACTTAAATATACAAGATTTTTAAAGGTATTGAAGATGTAAGTTATTTTGACTGTGTTAGTAATAGTTCACAATATCGTTCCCATTTTACTTGTACTTTTTCTATTTCAGCATTTTTAAACACATAATTTCTACCGGAAATAGAGCAAGCTTGTGGAACAGATATATTTATCAATATGTTGGTGTTGGGAGTAAAACAGTAGTTACCTATTTCAGGCCAGTTAAAACAGATTGATGGACCTTTTAGCTGGAGAAACCTAACTTTAGCATCAACTTCTTCTAGGTTGGTTTCAGTTACAATGCTGATCCACCACTTATTATCATAGACTACAGCTACATAACCTCCTTAAGTGACAGTATAAAGTTGAAATATATCTTGTTTTTTTTAAGATTTTGGATTATTGTAAAATTAGTGTCCGTACTACACCTCTTTGCCCCAACCCTGTTATGTCCAAGATGTATAAATTGATGAAAGCTACAAGTACCAGGTAGAGTTGTTACATCAGTGTACCTTTCTTTTTGCTCTTCATGTTGCAATTGTAAGTCCAATTCGTTTATGTAAATGAAGTTAACAACCTTGATTTTCTCAATACAAAATTCATGCATAGCTTCTGATGTGAGAATTTGGTTTCTGTATGGTCCTTTTAAACTTTCTTGCGCTGTTAACCTTTTTACAGTACCGCCAATCCCATTACATGGTGACTTTCTGTGGGACTTGGCAAAAAAGTTCCATTCAACTTTAAAGGCAAATTCGCTTTCTAGTTGGCATAGATTTTTAAAGCTTTTACAATTTTTGTACTGTCCTGCGCAACCATCAGTGAATAAATGTAATTTGGACAGGTTGGAAAATTTTATTTTTAATATTGGTATGATTTGTTGGAATATTTTGTACACATAGGTTACATCAGTGGTAATGTTGTCTGATATAAAACAGTAAGAAATATGTTTCAGTACACCTTTATCATCTTTAAATTATATTACTAACGGATGTAAAGAACATTGTTGGGTGTTCCAAGTATAGCTTTGCATTTCATCTTGGACTACAAAAGCATAATTTTTAACTAAGTTGCCAAATATGATAATGTTTGGTTGATCCATATTTTTTTTAGTTGGTTAAGGTACTGTGATTGAGAGTGAGCAATAAAAGAATAAGCTTTTAGCTTTTCAAAGCAAGATACTAATAGTTCAACAAACATTTGGAGCATCTACAAATATTTGGTGAGGGGTTCTTTACCAAGACAATTATCACAATGTGCAAGGATGCGTTCTTTGCTTTCTACTGAACGGTTTTCGAAAGTAAATCCTAATACTCTAGTCCAATATTTAAGGCATCTTCATCATCATCAATACATCATCAATATGGCATTTTGGTGATATGAACAAACACAAACAGAATGTGTACCACTTGCACCTGGCAAAATGCACCACTTTGGTCTTAGTGAAGCGAATTTTGAGTAACTTATTTGTATTTCGAGTAACTTATTTGTATTTGGATTGTTTTCTTTGTATAATACATATAGTTCTTTTAAATTAAACAAAAGCAGTTTTTTTTTGTTTATGGACGTTCTTTTGAATGCTAACATAATCTTTTTTTTTCCAGGAATAGTTCTACATAAATCACTTGAGTCATAAAATAATTTCACAGAATCTTCTATTTCTTTGTGTAAGACTTTACCTTTATTCAATGGAGAGATAGCTAACAATCCTTTTTTTATTAAAAAATTGTCTAGCCATCTTTGCTTGGTATTCTGTAACTGCAAAGTTATTTTGTCCTTCTAATATCAACCAACATGGGGTGCCAGTGTTAGAAGTTGAACAATAGTTCTTTTGTCAGAACATAAAATTTTTTCTTTTATAAAGCTCATAATTTCATCAAAGTTTTCACCCTTCTTTTTCATGTTATTTGTTTTATAACACAGTTTTGAGGGAACATTGACTTGACTTTGAGTTTTTATAGTAACGTTACTTATCATTTCGTTGATGCATGCAACCTTTCGCTTTCCTTCTGAAAGTATGTTTTGATGACTTTAAATGAGATTTTAGAGGAGATATACTAAAGATTTTCCAGTTCTTCATTGATCTTCTATCTCACTGTGGACCAGAGATGAGTTTAGATTTAATGGAGTGTCACTCAAGTGAAACCTTTTTTTATTTAAGAGTATTTGTATTATAACAATAAAAAAGAGATTTTTTGAAATCCGAATAAATTGCTAAGGGTCATAAATGGGGCAAAAGGGTAAACACAAGGGGGGCATAAGCCCATTTATGTGTGCTAGTTGCAAATTACAAAATAAAAAAATTTGAATCAAGAGTATTTGTTTCATAAAAATAGAAAATAGCATTTTTAAAGTTAAAAAAAAATGCTAAGGGTCACAAATGGGGCAAAGGGTAAAATTGAGGGGGACATAAGCCCATTTTACCATTTTAGGTGCCTGTTAAATTTTTCTTTTAAAAATAAATGTCAAATAAGTTAAACAAAATGTTAAGCAACAAAAAAAATTAAAAATTTTATATTACTGTAAATATTTTACATAATCCAACAAAAAGTGAATAATTGTTCTTCCGTGTCTTGAGCAGTATGTCAAAGTTAATGATAAATTAAACTCTTCTTCCATTAAAAGTAACATCAGAATTCTTCTTTAGGTTTAAAGCTTTTTCATGTGTGTTCAAATTTAAAATAAACTCTCCACATTGTTAAGCAAACTGTCTTGAATAGACAGAAATTAGTATTCAAATACTACTTTACGTCTTAGTTTCCTCAGCATTAGTGCTTCCAATACTGGTAGTACCGGTACCGGAATACTGGTATTACCGGACATTTTTAAGTACCGAAATACCGGTATTGGTTTGGCTCTATACCGGTATTAAAAATATATGTAGAGGGCTTATGATATAGCAGGTGCTATCGCCCTCTTTACGTGAAACACTAAAGTAAATGAAATACTTAAAACTTTCAACAACGCTTCCGGTAGGAAAAAGATAGCTAGATGAGAAAAGACGTGTTTAAATTGTCTAAAACAAGTATTCTACGTACTTTATACTTAATATCTAGTTGCCAGCTCATTTCCTACTAGGTTTGGTAGGAAATGAGCTAGCAACTAGCCAGCGAACAGCTAGCGTTTAAGACGTATAAAATAGGTTGAATACTTGTTTTAGACGATTTAAACACGTCTTTTGTCATCTAGCTATCTTTTTCTTACCGGAAGCGTTGTTTAATCGTGACTGGAAGTCTTAAGTATTCCATATACTTTCGTGTTTTCATTAAATAATGAAGCACCATTTTAAAATATTATCATTACGTCACTCACAATTAATGTAGAACGCATGTTTGAATTTTGCACTAACGTAAATATGAAAAGTTTCGGTAATGTAGAAAGTGGGGCGTTTAAGTAACTGTGATCAACAGTTGTGCGTTAGGCATGGGATTCAACTAGGTATTCAAGATATTTTGTACAAAAAAATCGTCAATTTCTGCAAAAAAAACTTGAAAGTAATATGCAATAACAGAGAAAGTGACGAGGAAATACTGATGACACAAACATAACCAATAATGATGAAGACTTTTCCAGCGGGTTTCAAGTTGTAATGAGTGAAGAGAATGACTCTATTGAACTGACTGATGATTTGCAGCCGTTAATCAAAAAGGTGCACACCATTGTGAAATTTTTATTTCACCGTTCTCTGACAAAAAATGATCAAAATTCAAAAACGCACGTTAGAAAAATTTGATAAAGATATTCCACTAATACTTGGATCCAAAACTAGCTGGGTTAGCTTGCACACAGTACTCGAACGTTTTGTATAATTGAAAAAATGCATTCACGAGTCACTTTTTGCCCTTGAGTCCAAAGTTGAGGTAGCTAATAATGAGTCCGATGCAATATTAGCTGTTAACTTATGTCTTGCGCCAGTAAAACTGGCTGTGGAAACATTGTGCCAAAATCATGCAACTCTGTTGTGTGCCGATACAACATTTTCATGA